CCAGTGATCATGGTAGCCATTTCACTTGGCATCGCTGCTGGAAAAGAACGGTTACAAAGATATACGAGTGATAAATGGTAGGAAAAAATTCAAGGGTTTCTTCTTGCTCTTCTCCTTTTAATTTGGTGCATTTAACTCTGTTTTGTTTTTGGATATAGTTTGAAATCGGTATCATTTTATTTTCTGACAATTTGTGTTTCTTTCTTGTGTTTCACTTCCTCGAGTTTAGTTGCTGGCTTTCCTCAACTAACAACCTGATCTGGATATTTGTCGCCTTTGTGGCTTTTATTGAAGTCGTGAGTTAACGATTAGTGTTGGTGATTGTGATTGGTATACCTGGAGTAGTTTCTTCTGCTCTTGAAAACGAACTAAGTATTTCTGATATGACTCAAGACAATATTTACCGTTTTCTTTTTCCTATTCACTCACCAAAAGCTTTGGACGTAGCCGCTGTTTGCGGGGATCCTGGTTTATTTTAACCTAATGATGGTCTTCAATAGCGGGGAAAACCTGTGGAAACAATATCCCCACAGGCAGAAGATAGCTTCATAAATTCTCCAACTTATACCACATAGTATGAAAAAAAAATTATCCCCCTTCCTTCAACGCAAAAATAACTCATGAAAAAAACAAAACAAAAAAAGATGAAAAATATGATAGGAGCAGGAAGAGTAGGATTTATTGAATTTATATAATTTAACATGAGGCTATACTTGGCGTGGTTCTTTCAGTTCAGGGACTTTTGTGCGCGATTTCCTTTGCTCATTGGCAGAGGATCGAAGCTCCTAATCTTGGTACCCCGGTTAGGGGCTCTATTCCCTGTAAATTACTCTTCATCTCACGCTTGTTACCGAATCAGTAACTTCCTTGGCAAAGATCCTCCCCTACTTTGGCTATTCGACATCCATATCTAAATAATCACTTTTTTTTGTGTACTTTAGCTCAACATTTTGATACTCCTACGAGTAATAAGGGAGATGACCAATTTGTTGCAGCCAACAGGGGCAGACCACCATTTTCAGCAAATACGGTGAGAATCACATCATAAAACTAAAACCAAATAGTGGAAGAGATTGCCATGCCCCCCTGTGGAGCTATATTTGCCTAGCCTCCTTATTCCGTAATCAGTAAGGCATCACAATTTTTAACAATGAAAATTCATTGTCAGAGGAAAGTAAAAGAATGTTTTTTTCTAACTCCTAGTCTTGGCATCAAAACATGCGTGGTGATGATTCCCCAGCTGGGTGTCACGTGGCTATTCGGTCTCCTCTCGCCTGTACATAAAGTTTTCGCTTACATCTTCATCATACTTAACTCTACTCAGGTCAGTGTTCGATGGTAACTGTAAAAAGTCATTTATCTCTATTATTTATTTTACTTTCTGACCAAGTGAGACATCATTAGGGTGGTCAGATTATGTTGTTTTGGAATTTTTAAAACAAAAAGGTGTCAACTATGCAAGAGAAGACAGACTTCTTTTTCAATTATAAGATATGCAATTTTCCTTCCTTCTTGGAAATCTGAATAGATATTTGACTAATTTGTTTGCATATTGTAAAAATTAATGATCTTGAAATTATTTTTGTGCTGCAGAGTTTCCTGATTTTCGCTTTACACTGTGTGCGAAACACTCAGGTAAGAAAAAACATTGAACTAATTATTAACTTTATATCGTCAAGTTTTAGTGTTTCAATAAATATCCGAGTGCTAAGAACCATATTTCGTGTTGCTTGTCTATCTGCAGATCAGAGAACGATTCAAAAGAAAGATGAACATCGTTTTTTCATCTTCTATAAAAAGAAACTCCACAAGGAAGAGCCCACAGGTCAATCCAAATGAGGTTGGGAATGTATGGGCAATTTAATTGCAGTCATGTGCTGAATTTGAATCGAAATTGTACTTAAGTTAAATAACTTGATTCAGCCAATCGGAAATAACAACCAAATACTTAGAACAATCACTTAGTTAACAGCAATAAGTCGCTTACGATCGGTCTGAATTACGATCTGCAAATAAAAAGAGGTCTGTGTCTGCATTATTGTTTGAGCATTCAACTAGTTGTCTTTGTAACCTATCATTTTTACGATAATAAGTTTATTTTCTAGGCGATCGTATATCTGCAGGGAAGAATCATCGAAATAAACCAATCTATAAATTTAAATTCCTAATGGCTCCGTATGCTGATGACTGCTTTGTTTCACTTACTTAGTTTATAAACTTCTTATCAAACACTGTTATTACTTTTAACTATAAGCTATGGATAGTCACTGAAATTATCAGTTTCTAGAAATTCCTAGAATACGTAGTCATGCTGACATGCATACAAAGGAACTTTCTGCAAAATTTTATTAGGTTTCGTAGCCACCAAAATGGTTGTTGTAAGCTTCTGGAATTATCTGGAACACTTTGTACAAAAGGACTCAATCGTGCAGCAGTAGTACTTTTTGTTGTCGGGAGTGACTGATTTTTCAGAGAGTTATAATGAAAGTGAGCCACTTTGGAAGATTGTTAATTTTGAGGAACTTGGGAGACAACTGTGAGATTGCGTCGGTGGTGAGCTAAGATGTAATTTGTAGTGGGCTTAAATAAGCTTATTTAGCATAAAAAGTGTACTTCCTTTAAGAGTCGCTCCTTAGTAAGAATATTATAGTTGTTTAATAGCGTTCTTTCTGTCGGTTAAATTATACCGTAACAAAAAAATGCCTATAGTAGCAGCAGCTAAAATTGACGTTCAAAACTATATTATGGTTTAACCAGGAAAATGACACCGACATTACACTTTCAAATAAACAAATAAATTTTAACGACATCCCCCGTTTAACTCTCCAAACCAATTTCCCAAGACGCAGACTACACCTTTTCGTTATTATTCTAAAATTATACATTTACCCTTGAAAATGTTTAGACAAGAAACTAAACATGCAGGAATTTAAAGAAGCCCATCCCTAATTCACAGATTTTCCCGGGAGGCCTTTTTTTCCTGATTTAACCTGCCAATTTAAACAGGCACACTAAATCAAAGCCCAAATCTAATCTTTTTAGTTTTCTACCAGCGCTGTCTCTGAATTTACTTCGTAGTGTTCGTAGAAGGTAATTAAGGTGCCGTTTCGTAAAGTACTCAAGTAATTATAAGTAGGCAAGTGAGCTTAATTAATTAGCGAATTGCGAGTTTTGTATTGTAATGTATTTTAAGTCATGTTCTGTTTAGAAACGTTATGTAAATAACATTACGCTGTAAGTGAGTGTTACTAAGTGACTCTTAGAATAAGTAAAAATAAGTAAAAGTGACTAATCCAATAAGTACAGTAATGTAATAAGTAGAGTGATGTCGAGTAGTGTAAGTAGAGTGATGTAATTTGAGTTTAGTTTCGTACAATTTTTTTTTCAATAAATGTTTATTAAATTTAAAAAAATTAAAAAATTAAGTTTACATTCAGTTTTTGCTTAATGAACAAATAGATGAATACGCAAATGGTTGAATCTATAAACAGATAATTTAAAAAGGACAGAAAAATCCTTATGATTGGATCGTCTTTGATCTGTTATATTTGCCAGTTTTTCTCCTTTTTTTTTTCGCATCCCTAAGATAAGAAGTGGCATTTTGAATCGAAAATACATCGAATAATTTGGAATTCAATAGGGGCGACGCTAGCCGGAAATGGCATAAACCAAGAGATTGTAATCTCTTGAGCAAACTTCATTAAACAGCGATTAAAGAACTTTTGCACAGAGTAGACAATTTAAAGGAAAAGAGCTCAGCGACAACAACTAAATATTTTGAAATGGCGTGATTCTGAGCCAAGAGGTAACGACAATTGCGCGCCGCGACCCAATTTCCTGTAACACGAAATTCCCAGATCACTGAAAACCTTCTAAAATCGTCTTTCTAAGAGCCATCCTGGACATATAGTCAACTGTTTTACGGTAAATACATTCGCCGTTCGTCATTTTACAGTTTCCTCACACTATTTAAAATTTTGTCCGGAAGAATCCGAAGTGTCACGCTTGGATCTCTCAGAGTCAGCGAAAAGGACAACGTTCAAATTTTTTCACTTTCTAGAAGCGCTTGAGGATTCTAAATGAAGATAAAATATTTCAAATAGAAAGTGGTATTTTTCAAAGACAAATATGGAAAAATATCAGAATGTTGGACGCTTAGTTATTCGGAAACCGTGTCCGGTGAAAATTTTCTTAGTGTCACGGTTGGATCTCTTCTCACTCTGTGTACAAGGTCAGCGAAACGGACAACGTTAGAATTTTTTCACTTTGTAGAGGCGCTTCAGGATTGTAAATGAAGATAGAATATTTTCCAACGAAAAATTGGTATATTTCAGAGAGAAATATGGTGTTATTTGACGACCGTGTCCAGCCGTGTCATTGAACAGTTTTTAAATGCCAAGCGTTTGGATGGCTTCGCACTCTGTATACAGGGTTAGTGAAAAACATCAAGTTCGACATTTTTAGGCTGCCGGGAAGCGCTTGAGGATTGTAATTAAAGGTAGAACATTTTCGTATAAATTTGTTTTGGATCTCGAAGATAAATATGGAAAAATATCGAACTGCCGGACGTTTAATTATTTTAAGTTTAGTCACTTCATAACAGGAACGTCAGCGACATTGACAGTTTGCGTCACAATTCTTTTTTGCTGCTTTGTATGGGCAACAACCTCGATCACTCTTTCGGGCGCAAGCTCCTCTCCATGGGCAGGAAACTTCAACTGACCCTTGGTCCTATTTAACAAGGATGGCAAACTTGATGAATGGATGATCAACATTTTAACCTTATTTGAAATACTTGCAAGTTCCTCTTCAGCAACAACCGATCCATAAGCGTTTACTGCCTCGGAATCTACAAAATCAATGGATTCATCCGATTCCATGCCGGATTAAAACGTATAGAATTGTTTTGAACAAATTTATTTTGACAGGCTCTTCAAATTCATCTGAGAAAACGCATAAGGAAGACTTATAATAAAAACTGGTTCGAATTATATTTCAGAATGAATGTCGCTGAGTCAGTATATCAGATCCAGCGCATCACTATGAATGTTAAATATTCTATTCCGTTTGGTAGAAAATCATTGGTAAGATGAGGTTAATATCACTGCAGATGTGCATTCCAGGACCTTAAAAGAAACACTTAGGCCTTCAAATATTTGACTTTCCTCTGGTTTCGAATTATTTTGCGAAACAATTTCTTGTATTGCGCACGTGGCAATAATAAATCCAAAGCAGCTCGATTTTTAAACTTCTTCTTAGCCTCAAGCAATGTGACATTTTCAAGGTAATTTAGTGTTATCAACTGAGTTGATGACGTCAACTGACCACCGTGAGGATTTAAAAGGCTGACGTGTCGAGCGTTAACCCTTTCGTCAGAGGGATTGGAATCCAACACCGTTGATAACACTAAATTACCCTGTTATACTCTTCTACCGACGCAGCACCACAGTTTCTTTAGAAACTTACCCCCTTTTAACATTTTTCATCCGCAAAGAAACTCTGCTTACTATGGAGCTTTTTATAATGAAGCAAGCCTCCAGTCCTCCCACATATAGCTGGGAAATGAATTATTATTACTTTTTTTTATTTTACTTTTTTTGATGGCACTTAGAGACTGAACGTGGACCGTAATCATAGTTTACACAACTGTATTTTAGCAGATTGACATTTAAAATGGTTCAACCATTTTATGAAAAAAAGGTTATTTGCCTTTCTCAGGATTAAATTAAGGTCCTGAAAGCTTCACCTGCTTTTAAGAGCAATCCAACCAATAACTATGAACTAGACATTTTTTTTTTAATAACAGCTTTTTCCTATTTCCAGAGAAGTGCTCTGTGTCGGGATCTACACTTATTATCCAAAGTACAGAGAAATATATTTTCTTGTAAGTCAGTTTGAATTTTACTCCAAAAGATGAACGACGAAATCTTCAAATTAAAAGTCAGAGGTATTTCAGCTTTTCTCATTTCATACAGATGTTGTTGTTCATCTTGGCTATATGGATAAATGAAGGTTTAATCGTTTATCTTGCGACCAACTGCAACTGATAAACCGACTCTAAATCGTGAGACAAAACGATCAACCATTTAATAATTGTTTCCCCAAATTATTTTGCTGATTTTTTGAACGAAAAGATTGCACCGTATGAAATAATTTAACTTCGTCACGTTTCTTGAAAAAGATGTGTAGCTGTCATATGTGGTTTCCAAGACGACTGTGTTATCTTCTCAATTGTGAGATGTAAATGAAAAAAAAGGCGTGTATATTGCATACGTTGAAGAAGTCGTGCCTTTGAAGCAAGACAATTTCTATTCTTCTTACATCTATATATGTATTTTTGTTCCCGTTTTCTTAATTCTGACTTCAGTATTTATGCATTTGTAGTATAGAAAGGAACTTACAAGTAAAATAGAAAGCAGGTGGTTAAAAACGGGTGCGCGCACATTTTAAGCCAGGACTGCGTGAATTGTGACGAGGGCGAGTAATTGTGAGACAGTTGAGAACTACTCCGTTTCTTAATGAACACGTACAACAAATATATTAAAACATCATGGAACGAATTCCTTGAATGCGTTGGTAAGGTTTCAGTGCAGTCGGCTTGAAAAATATTTCAATTTATGGGTGGTTAAAGACTTCTAGAAAAGTGTTTCTAAATATTCATTTAAATTATTTTTCCATTTTAATATTCAGATTTCCTTGATGAAGGGACGCTTCTGTTAAAATGCAACATAAACGTTCAGATATCATTAATTTGCATGACAGTCAATTTTGCGCTTCAAGCTATAAACATAATAAAAGCCCTATAAAAGCCTCACTGTAGACGTAAAAACAACAAGGCAAGCTAAATTCATTCTTTTACAGGAGAAAGCTCTTTTCAGAATTAACTAACAGCAATCTTGCACTGATCTCAAAGATATTTTTAATATGTAAGCACAACACGGAAATAATATTTTGGTTGCTTTTAGATAACTCGCTGATCTCAACACGTTAATTGGTCTGACTGAAGGCGAAGGGGTAACAAATTAACCTCAAAACAAATGGGTGATTTCCATAAATTTACCGCAACTCTATTGCTGGTCTCTTCATTAGGTGAGTGTGGATTCTGTTGTGAAGATTATTACTTTTTCTTTTCGAGAATTTGATCTTACAATAGGGGTCAAGGACTCTTTTAACTTTCATATTCTTTGTATCTACATATCCCAGTCAATTGGACGTAGCAAAACATTGCGGATAAGAATTAGTACCTTAAACTACCGGAAAATTTTGGCTAAAAGTCGATTAGTTATTCTTTTTTTTCAGCGTTTCCTTTCTATGTTTCTCCCAAGTTACTCGCGTATTTATTCAGTTTTTCTCAACCATCTGCTCACTGACCTAAGAAAAACCGAAACTGTATTAAATGCGCTCTGATCAGTTTAAAAATGTGAGTTTCTCGAGTAAATTTTGGCAGACCAATTTGTTTATTTGAGACATTCTGAAAAATTCTACCCAAAAATATATAATGTGGCTTGAATGAGTCAGGGCATAAATATTTTTGCGCGAGACAACTTCCGCGCAAAACGGTTGCATCTGTCAGGCAAACTACTTAATGAAAATTTTGCTTTGAAAACCTTAAAGATTGTGTGAGGTAATTTGCACATGTAATAACGCAGCGCAGTGAATGTAGATTTGTAACTGTGGTTACTACAAATGTAATCTGGTATGCAATGGAAATGATTGCACACAAACATGCAACTCTGATACATACCGGATAATCGAACAGTGAATGAAGGGAGTAGGTTTCTAAAGAAACTGAGTTGCTACTTTGGTTGAGAGTACTGCAAGACAGTTTGGTTTTATCAAGTGAGTAGATAATGCAAAGACGGGTGTCCTCTCTTCTTAGAGCAAATGGTGTAATGTGGTTTTCTGGAGAAGACACCGGCTGATCACTTCTTCAAAGCAAAGTTTTGACCTTATAACGATACGTAGATATAAAAATGATTCAACTCTATGCTGAGCTTATTTTCCAGCTATATTTCAAGTACAAAGAGCAACTAGTTCACCACAACTTCGTACAAAATCAAAACAGACTTCGAAAACAGAAGAATTGGTAGGTATTGCTTAAACATGCATATACCCTAGTGACATGCATAGACAATATCGCACTAGTTACTGTAACATGCAGCTCATTTTCAAGTATGATAATTTTACAATATGTCATTTTTAATTTATCATAAGGATCATCAACATCATCGTCATGATCGCTATCTTTTTTATAATTATTTTTCTAGTATTTTATTTTTATCACTATTATTATTGCTTAGAGATGATTTTGCTCTGTATTATTTGGTTTTCTTTCTGTTTTTTTTTCCGTTGGTTTGTTTGGTTCTTGTTTATTGTTTTGTTTTTTGTTTCATTTGTTATTTTTGTTTGCTTTTTTGCATATTATTTCAAGAATTTTAAAACAGTGAGTTGGAAGTGTCGAGATAACTTTAATGAACGAGCATTTGGTATCTGTTTCATACTCTTTCGCACTAATTTGATATGTCATCTTGCTACAGACAAATAATTTTACCCTGGCATTGAATAAAACATATATTCAACAAGATAGCTCTTTGCAGGTATGTTGAAGTTTTACATTCTATTTATTAAATTTCTAAGAAAAACCTTAATTTTCAACTTTACTCCATCATCATCGTTCACTGTACCTACTGTTATAATCTATCTGGTATTCCTGCTCGCACGGAATTAGTCTAAACGCGTCACGTGACAGAATATGCCCCCAAAAAAATTGTAATAAGAGAAAAGTAATCATAAGCATTAATCTTATGGTAATTACAACGAAGAAACACTTTTTTCATTGAATTTCAATCCATCCTTTTGCAGAACGTTCTCGATTTGTTGCAAGATACTCTGGCCAAGTATAAAGATATATCCTTTCTAGAAGTTCAAAATAATGTTATAACCGAGCGGAAACGGATAGAGTTGATATACACAACGACAGATGCCTTTCAGACCTTTGCTCTGAAGTATGGCTGGTACCACCTCAACGAATCAACGCCAGTGTTAAGGAGGAAATATGAGAGAATCCGTGGTATGCTGAAGTTTGTTCGTCTGTTTGTTATGTTTTGTAAAGGAGAAGAAACTGAACATCCTAAATGACAAACAAAAATATAGTCAAACTACGATATATTAAAAAAATGATCCTATAACACTAGAGGCGGAATACACGTTGAGATTCAAGGATGGGCTTGATAGCGTATGATGGAAATCTTGGATGACATACAAAAATGAAGTCATACCAAGGTGAAGCCTAACCTTTTTTTGTTTGTTTAAGCTACTAATACCTCTTTCAAATTTTTGGTAACTTATTCATAACACAATCTGTTTTAAGTATCTACTGGTGTAAGTACTACAGACTCATCATAGGCATACATAACTAATCCCATAGCACTAGAGGCGGAATGCATGTGGAAGTTCAGGGATGAACTCGATCTTGTATCATACTTATATTGCGCATTGAATATTACAAATATTTATTCAATAATATTCTCATGATATTTTATGATATTTCTGTTAATATGTATTTTTAAACCTCATCATTCGTCCTTTATAACAGTTCGTATTCGGAAACGTCTAAGACGAGATTTTGACGACTTTCACCTCGGTGAATCATCAAGTGAAACTGTTAACATCCCATCTGAAAACTTTAAAAGAAACGGTAGGTAACTGACTATGATGAGACGAGAAGCAACTTGACTCTGATTTTGAGCTTAGCGAGGAGATTTTCTTTTTGTTTTTGTTTTTTTGTTGTTGTTGCAGTGTTTCCAGGCAAACAGGTTCCGTGAATATTATATTTAGATCTACGAAGCTTCCGATAGTTTTTGCTATCAGTGAGTGGGGCTGGAGGGAGGCAAAACATCTCAGAATATAAATATGCGATCCTTTTACTTGTAAAGTTCAACCACCCACTGAAAATAAAACTCTATCCCACCAATGTGGCAAGTGACATTTTCTAAAGAGAAACTCTTCTGATAAATACAAGGAAAATAACAATGGGCCATGTACTGCAGAATGCTTTGAAGCTTTCGAAAAAGTCATCAATTTTCTCACAGAAGAGTATCTTTTAAGTTGTTTTTATTGCCTCATCTACCTGCACGTGGAGTACGATTTACTCGCAGTCCATTCAACTCACGGATACATTTTGAACTGCTTCTCTGTTTTTGCTTAAAGGTTCAGTGATTGTCGTCATCATATACAAAGACCTACATGAACTGTTAAGAAGGAGAGAATTAAATAACGCTGACTTAAAGAAAAGGAGGTAATATTTTCTGTACGTGTATGTTCATTACGATTAGAAACTATTGATTCAGAAACTGTCCATAAAATCTGTGACTTCCTGGGTGTAGTGTAGTGTAATGCGTTACATATTGTCACATAGCGTCACTACTGTAAGGAATTTCCAATCATGCCGTAAATCTACTCTCGTGAGTAAAAGTAAAATAACTCTTTACGGTTATTTTACGCTAAATATATCATCTTGATTATTGAATAAAATACAGTTGAATTAGAGGAATGAGAGTGTTTCGCGTTTAGGAATTATATTCTGCCTCGCACCTTTCTTATTCATGGTACAGCATCTAGATGACAACTACGATGAAAGAGGCGATGGCAGAAGGAAGAAAAAAGACCCACTGACAATTATTTTTCAACGATAGTGGTGGTGATGATCAGATAAACAAAATGATAAGTTTTAGCCCTTCCATGAATTGCACCTGAGGAAGACTGGTACTAAACCAATAAAACCACTCGGGAGCGAAAAAGCCGTTAAAGGCAGTATTCCTTCTTCTGCACTGGCTAGCGTCTACCCTGATATTTTTTTTTAATTGGCTCAATAGAGATAATCATATTGGGCCTATTGGATTATTTCCTAAAGCGAACCCTACTCGATGGTTTTATTTCTTTAACATTCAGGCGTCTTAACAGCTTGGTAATGGCTGTCGCAATGGATCCGAAGCCAAGACGTTTGATACGAAATGTCGTCATGAGGTTTAGAAATCAAAAGGTAAAAAAATCTACTTAGAATTGAAATAATATTAAATACATGATGAAATATTTCAACGAATGAAAAAACAAAAAAAAGGTACATTGAGAGAAAACTATACTTTTAATGATTAGCTGTTCTTGAATTTTTTACTGTTAGTCTGAATGAAACAGTATCTTATTCATTAGCTTCTTGACGCCACCAGAAATTGTGTGTATTGGAAAGTGTTTGATTCCAAAAGGTAAGAATAACTATTCTGTGGTAGCCAGCAGTATTTTATAGTACTAAATCAAAACTTTTGTCCTCGGCGAACGTGTTCATTGTATGACTTAAAACATGTTTAGCGATTGTCTAATAAAATTAAAATGCCCCAGGCAGTCGATTCATGGCACATCGATTCTTAAGCTTCATGTGAAAACTTAGTCAATTATATTATCTCATCTTATCTAATTTTTATTGCCTAGTATTCCCATTTAATTTCCCTCTTTTTGGATTATTCTGAAAGACTTTGATATAACGGATGTCTTGGTGGCCATCTTAGATAATGTTATGCTTAATGTAAGCCGAAGTACTTAACCTTCTCATCCATTGCCCCTGCGTTCCATTGGCTCATCTTCCTAATCTCGCATAATGAATTGGACGCTATCTTTCAAAAGATGAGTGATTTCAAATGGCTGAGTCGTAGCAGGAACCGAAATGCGCCTCACAATTCCTTCCTTGTTTAAACACCAGCAAATGGGCGACTGAAAAGACAGGCTGATTAACTTAGATGACTCCAAGCAGCAGAACCTACTCTCAATAAATAGTTAAGGGAAAATGTCTCACATATTCGTCGTTTCATGCATAAAGCTAACATGTCGCTTGTTTTTAGTATTGACGGGTGGTCAGATGAGGGATGTCAGGTATCTAAAAGAAAACCAGACTACACAGAGTGCAGCTGCAACCATCTGACTCACTTTGCAGTTCTTTTCGACTTTGGCAGCGCTTCAGCAGAGGTAATGATGTTTGTCTGTTCATCTGGTAACATGAGTGATGATGTTTCACTGTGGCCATATTTACTTAAAGGCGGGAAGATCGGTCATTTTTATGAACGGGGCTGTTATGCTATTTTATATTGTAACTAAAAGTAACAAATAAAAAAAATTGAAACATTTCTTTCGGATGATATCTATTTCGTCATCACTATCATTTTGCTTTTCTTTTGCCCGTTGTTACGATGACAAAATAGACGACAGAGAAAGATGAGAAGATCTTGAAGATTCTCACCTACGTGGGACTGATCTTGTCGCTCATTGGAATAATTCTTACTTTAGCTTCCTATGCTCTCCTCACGTAAGTAAAACGTTTTTTTTTTCTGTTATGGAATTATTTTACTACACTTGGTATTCTCCAACTATGACCTGTTTAGTTTTAGCTTGATTTCTCTTATCTTAGTTCATTTCCTTTTCGTTTGTGATACTGTTGTATAGTTTCTTACTTGATATAAATAATATATATCCACTTTCCTCTTTATGTCTATCAATGCAAGCTGTATTTCTTTTCTTTATCACCAGCGATGTGCATCAGCCGCTGTCTCAAGTGAGGTTAAGTCTCGTTGCCTCACTGGGACTTGGCCAGATAATGTTTCTTGCTGGGATAAATGCCACACAGGATAAAGTAAAAGCTTGGTTTTTTTGTTTTGTTTTTTTTTTTTGTATTGTTTTTGTTTATGGTTTTTTTTTGTTTTTAAAAAAGTACAACTTAAAACAAAGTCAGTAAAAGCTTTTTAACTATCTGGCAGTGAATTCATAAGAGGAGTCTTGGCTCTAGTCGCATTTTTGAGGATTTGAATAGATTTATGTTTGTTGTGATTAATATTGATCACAGCTCGACAGAAAGGGGGTAGGAGGGGGGGTTGAGAAATTGCCATAAGAAACAGGTATTTATGAAGTAACAGATTCATGTTGGCATGATCGAGACCTACTAAATAAAAATTTAACTTGTGGGGAAAATAAAGGCTATATTTGATATAAAATATCGAAAGCTATTAAAAAACCATTTTAAAAGGAATCCTAATTAATAATTTATACGAAATAGAAATAAAACAGTTACAGTTCTTAAAAGCTCAGTCTACTTTTGATTTGCAGGGTGTTTGTGTCGCAGTGGCAGCCCTGATGCAGTACTTTCTCATGTCAGCCTTTTGCTGGATGCTTGTTGAAGGAATTTATCTTTACCTATTTGTCGTCAAAGTTTATAATATAAATGAGAAGATGGCCATGTACCATGCTTGTTCTTGGGGTAAGCTCTTCCACTATTGCAACAATTACTAAAGGCAATATCAAGTTTTCGTTATCAAAATGATATTGATACGTGGTGATTTCACTGTCTTTAAAACTTTGCTTTTTGTTAATTGTAGCTTTTCCAGCTGTTATGGTCAGTATTTCGCTGATAATTTCTTCAGCGAGGGACGGAATCAGTAGTTTTGTCAGCGAAGAATAGTAAGTATCCCTATCTATTTATTTAAGTTACATTATTATTTTTTTTTTTGAGACAATTCAGCCCACTTCAGCTTTAAAGCTGGTTCATTTGGGAACTATTTATAAGATAACACGACCACACCACAACACCAGGAGCCACGTTCTCTACTCCTTGCAAGAAATGAGTGGGTTCTGTAACGTGCCCTGCTAACCAGCACAGAGAAGATGCAGGAGACGGGGCCTACAGTTTATCGTCCTTATTCGAGAACAATAGAATGTCTAACCATTCGCGGATGTCATAGCAAAGGCGACACATTCTCCTCTCCCTCTTCTCTTCTACTTCAACTCGCCATTTACACCTTTGTGTGATGGCTTGATTCAACTTCAAGACTAATATAATTATGTAATTTGTGTTGTGAATAAGCTGCTGGCTCTCCAACGCAAACCATTCTATCTGGATATTTGCTGTTTTTGTTGTGACGGTGGAAGTTGTAAGTAGATCACAGTTTTTAATCATAACTGATAGTCTCCCTAACATTTGCACAATCCAAAAATTCGCAGTTAAATGCTATTCTTAGGAGGAGGCTCTTGAATCAATATCAGTGGGACAAAGCTATTCTATATGGCAGTCTAAAAAAGGCCTTTTTTTGCTGCGCGGTCTCAGCTAAAAAAAATTTGCATTTTCCTTATTTGTCTGAATCTAACGTAGATATCTCAATCATAAATTAGGAAAGAAGCACACGAACATAACAGCTCCCCAAGACCGTTGATTGCAAGGGCTTTCGGGAAACGGGCCTATTGACTTGTAGACAACACTCAGCTCGAATCAGATGACGACTTCCAATCAAATTGCCAAACAATTTTCCTAAACTAAAATATCAATCTGCTTAATATTGAATAAAATTTCAACTTGAATATTGCATTCTGGTGTTCTGATGGGTTCAATGAACTCCAGTTATTAGCTGATATTGCGAGTCACCGTATATGGTAATGCATTACAACAATGATTGCATTAGCACTCGTTGGATACGAAATAGGTTATAGCCAACTCAGGGCTACGCGCCTCGTTGGCTTTCTACCATCTCAGTCATATCCATGTTTAGGGTATTTTAAATATTACTACTTTGTAGCTTAACTTGCTAATTCTGGCCAGAGTTGTAAAAGAAATGTCCGGAACACAGTCAGCTCCAGAAAATCATCAGATACGGTAAGAGTAAACATAAACGTCAGGGACTGGAAAATGATAACACTAACATTAACAACAACAAAGACAACAACAAAAAACGGCTTGTTCGTTAATTCTTCTCATTTTTTTTGTATCGCTTTTTTATTGTTTTTTTTTTTTGTTCCTTTTCTGTTATTTTCTTTTTTTTTGTTACTGTTTGTTTTACTGTTCTTTCTTTTATTTTACAGACTTTGCATCAAGACATGTGTAGTAATGATTCCCTTACTGGGTGTCACGTGGTTATTTGGTATCTTTTCGACGTTTCACAAAGCTTTTGCCTACATCTTTACCATCTTCAACTCAACTCAGGTAAGCCATTATTATGATTTACTAGTCACAATTAGTGAGCTCATTAAATAAGCAAACCTCAAAATTAACAGCCTCATCATTTTTTAGGTACTCGCATCATTTAGAGGTGCATCTTATTCTTTTTACAGGGATTTCTCATTTTTCTATTGCATTGTGTGCGAAACAGTCAGGTAAGTACAAGTAGTTTTATTCATCGTTTGAATTAATCTTTGAGCTTGATTTTGATTGCAATTATTGTCGATGATTTTATTCAAACTCCAAGCCATAAAAAGACTCATTATCTTAACACAGTTACCGCCTGAAGGTAATGCATGATGGAGAAATCTTACGGTGGTCGTTAATGCGGCTAAAGATTAGACGTAAAATTATGGTAATGATCGCATTTTAAACTGTCAGAGACCATAATAGCCTTCTTAGAATTGTCTTCAAATGCGCAAGTCACCCACTGACCCCAAAATTTTCAATCTTGATAAGCAGCCTGGCCGTTTAAAGAGGTCGTAACATAGGTCCTTTTCGCTTTTTCTATCACTTGAGAGCCCTGTTGAAGTGTGACCCTTAGGCTACTCTTTGGAATATCATAACGAGTAATTTTCAGACACCTTTTTCCAGGCTGAGACTAAAACTTCATGATATCTTTTCCTTTTTGCAGATTAAAGAGCGTTTGAATAGAAAGTTTAACGCTATATTCCCAGCTACAAATTGAGCAATCTCAAGTTTATAAAAGTGAAGAACTAAAGGAATGCCAGCATCGCACCATATCTCATCTATATACGGCATCAATAATCATAGGTGGAAGAGATTGGTCGCAGAGATTAATGAAGTTAATGGAGTGATCTGCCAGTCCTTTAGCTGTCGAGGCGATGTTCTACACGAAGACAATTTTTAAAACGTATTCGTAGTTCTAGAACCTTTTAATATGAGTTGTACTTAACAAAAAAGTATGGAGTGAACAGGGACCAAGAACACTATTGCATTCAAGTTAAAAGGGATGGAATGATGAATTTCAGTCATACATATAGGATGTCGCCTTTAAGAAACTTTCTCGGCTTTAAAATGTTTTTTTTAAATATCGGGCTCCGCTATAACGCTTCATTCACAAAATGGTTGCTTAAATGCTAGACTAGGAAAATCAGGCTTAACATAATTTCAAACAATCACCACATGGTTTCATTGAAGTACTAAAAGCAGTAAAGTCCTCAACCAAAATGGGAGCTGGTTATCATGTAAATTGTACTTATAGGATAGTTATGATGTACGTACAACTGTGACGATAGGTTTTCGCGCCCAAACTAGAAAACTGACTCTTCGCGGACGGAACAACAACAACTGGGGGAAATAACTCTGTAGAGACGACTCGGCAGCGAGAACGGAAACTCGTCACGATTTCCTGGTACACGGAGATCTACTTCGAGCGAGCTTATACGGACGTCAAGGATAAGACAATCTTAAGTTCCACAGTACTTTTATTCTAGTAAAGTCATCAACCAAAATGGGAGCTGGTTATCATGTAAATTGTACTTATAGGATAGTTATGATGTACGTACAACTATTCAAACGCGACTAACTTATCATGTACGTATCTCTGAGAAATTTACTTCAAATTTCAAATTCTAAACTTTGAGCAAGTAAACAACTGTACAGATACAAGGACCGATTTGTTTGTCCGCTTGTTTTTTTTAGGTTTTTGACTGGGTTCTCAGCTTCTCGTCATTTTTAATTGATTTTTAAAAGGATCGAAACAAGCACAGACGAATAGTCTTTTCCAACCATTAGAAAAAAAATTAAAAAAAAAAAAAACCAACTGAGCATTCAGAAGTATGCAACCTTTTCCAAGATGACTGCCTATGACACCTTGCAGTTCTTCAGGTATGCTAGTGAACGGAATATCTGTGTTCCTGTGAAGTAGGTGTTTTAAGGAATCCCACAGAGCTATAAATTAGGCCTGAAGGGATTCCATCCATAGATAATTTAACCCAATTAATGAACACCACACGATTTTAAACAAATTTAAACGAATTTGGCCTAATTTAGACTGCGTGGCTAATTACATAATGAATGTGATCACGAGCTTCTAAAGTTTGGTGCCGAAGCCGCGGGACACCTGAAACAGATATCATGGAAAAACACCAAATATTTTTTGAGATTTCTCCCTGAAAGGTTTACATTGGTTAAAACTATCGTATGCATATCGTCTACCTGTGGCTCTTTTAAAGGGATACTTAAGGAATGATGAAATTGAAAGAATCTGCGCGCAATTAGTTAACACCATGAGAAAGTTAATTAAACGAGTGTGAAAAAAAGATTGAACTGATTATTGTTTCATTAAATAGTGGGGACTTGAGAAACACAATCGTCATGGAAACAAAATATTTAATGGAAAGAGCATTACGAACGATGTATGTGTTTTAAAACCTTGTGTACTTTCCAAGAAGTTAACTGCAAAATAAGAATACATGATCCTATCAAAGACTGGAAATAAAGCATACTTAATGAGCTTCAGTTTTTCCTTCCAAGTTTTTATAAATTTGGCCATCTTGACCATTTGCACTTGTTGATATTCATCAAGCTGATCGGATTGCTTTGTTTTTGTTAGACAGGGACCACCATTTAATCAAAAATGTAAGATTTTAATGCAGCTCTGCATCATTTCAGGTGTATCAGTAATTACTCAAAACTATAGTCTGTATCAAAAACTCTAACTTAAAATTTCGCGTGGTAAAGGCAATTTTTTAGGAGACGTTTTGTTATCGGTCGAAGTAATTAATTAATTAGGTAAAATAAACAATAAGTGGGTGCCTGAATGCATGACACGCATCATACTCCAGTTGGCAGTTTTTCACCCGAAGCTTAGCCCCGCTGATCGTCTTTACGGCTCTGTCGCAGTCTAGGAATTAACATTATCATTCCCTGGTTAAATAAAACGGTGAAAACATTCGGTCGATGGCCTAGAAGTCTAATCTTTCAGTGCTGGATATTTCACAGAGTTCGCAAACATTGAAAATGCGCGAAAGTTTCGTATTTGCTCCGAAACTCGTGACTAGAGGCGTCATGCTAATTATCTTCGACATGAAAGTTTTTTTTAAATTATTTGGAGTTTAAGAGTCAGGTTCTCGCCATTAATTGAAAACACGAATTAAATGCTGCATTTTGGCTTGCATTAATTTTCTTTTTATTAATGTAACGTTTAAAAGATTAAAAAATGAATGAAGTAAGAAAGAAACATTGGATGCATCCTGTAAGTCTACGCAGGTTGAAGAAATTGTTAATAGAGTTCATAAAAAAGAGGACTTTATAATTATTCTCTTATAATAAAATGCTTGTAGGTCTTTTTAATTGTAAAAAGTTTTCCTGACGATCAATGCAAGGCAAATTATTGCAAGAGGCCAACAAGCATAGTACATATTCATGTGATTATAACAGCGTCTGGCTCGGTATCTATTTAACAAATAGAGAAGCCTTTACTAGGCTCTGTTCTGTTGCAACGCACCAAGGAAGCGGCTACAGCACAAATGGGGATTTTTGTCTCTGCTCAGGGTATAGTAATGTAAATTACGACGCTTACCATATTTATAAACCTTCATTTGGTTCTTCTGTGGTTACTTTCCGACTGAGTTGTTCCGAAATTTCTCCTAGGAAAAAAAGCAAGAGGTCCAACATAGAACACTTTCGCAGATGACGTGACAGCTTTAGCTCGGCTTTATGTTTCAAACTCTGATAGAGCACGCTCTTTCAACCAATCCCTCCGTTACTGACTGTGAGGTTATCGCCAGTGGTTGGAAAATACGAAGTAAATGCTGTATATCCATCAATATTTATATTCTTTGTATATATTCAGCGATGCTTCACACCAAAACTTCCAATAAAGTATTTGAGCTTAATGAAAATATATATGAACCTAAAGTAAATATCTGATGATCAAATTGAACGGTTCTTAGTGATCGTTACAAGTTTTATTTACAAAAAAGTTGTTTGCGTGCACCTTGTAAGGTCTACTAAAATCGCCAACAAGCGAGGAGTTTAATTGATATGCTTTTTTTTATTGAATGGGAACAATTAACAGTTGCATTTCACAAACATTTGATAGTCGTGTTTTACGAACATGGAACAGTCGCATTTTACAAACATTTGACAGTCGCCTTCTACGAACATTAACGAGCGTATTATACATATCTTGGATCAATATCAGAGGGTCTAAATGGGGTTTAGTGTTATTTGCCCATATTTTTTAGTGTTTACTGCTAAATTGGCCATTTTTTTAATGTTTACTGTTCTTGAAAAAAATACGGTAGCATTTTACGAACATTTAACGGTCGCATTTTTACGAACATTTAACAGTCGAATTTTACGAACATTCAATAGTCGCATTTTACGAACATTTAACGGTCGCTTGTTACGAACATATAACGGTCGCATTTTACGGACATTAAACAGTCGCATTTTACCAACATTTAACTGTGGCATTTTACCAACATTTAACAGTCGTATTTTATTAACATTTAACGAGCGTATTATACATATATTTAACGGTCGCATTTTACGAACATTTGACAATCTCTTTTTACGAACATTCAATAGTCGCATTTTACGAACATTTAACGGTCGCTTGCTACGAACATTTAATAGTCGCTTGCTACGAACATATAACAGTCGCATTTTACGAACGTTAAACGGTCGCGTTTACGAACATTTAACGAGCGTATTTTACGAACATTTAACAGGCGTATTATACATATATTGGATCAATATCAGTATCTGGGCCGAAGGCGCTATGTAACAGAGCCATTTAAATTTACGACAAAATGGCTTATATAAAACAGTACTAGTACTGAAACATCCCTTATGTAATCAAGGTCAAATGAATGGCCTTATGTAATAAATGTTTTTAAAATGTACGACCTTAAAGTTCGTAAAAAGCGCCCGTTAAATGTTCGTAAAATGCAGCTGTTAATGTTCGTAAAATGCGACTGTTAAATGTTCGTAAAAAGCGCCCGTTAAATGTTCGTAAAATGCGACTCTTAATAAAATGTTTTGCTCCTATCTGCTGGATAGCGAATCCTTCGAACAACCAGGGCCAGGTGTTTTGAACACAAAGAAGACAATATTGTTACGTTGTGCTTTCTGTTCCATTCCTGTTGGGTTGACTTCTCGGCAGTGTGTCTTGCAGATTCTTATATACACACCCAGCCACCACTGATCCTAAAAAAGATAAATCTATGTATTTCCTTCAGGCTATAAAACAAATAACCCCGATGAGTGCAGGTTTTGGAAGCAAAGCCTGCGAAAACTTGTGAGCTGTCCTCCGTGAGAAATTACGTCAACGCTGTTTAAAAAAAAAAACATATACCTTTAACAGTCGCATTTTACGAACATTTAACAGTGGCTTTTTACGAACATTCAATAGTCGCAATTTACCAACATTTAACAGTCGCATTTTATGAACATTTAACAGTCGCGTTTTACGAACATTTAACGGTCGCTTGCTACAAACATATAACAGTCGCATTTACGAACATTAAACGGTCGCTTTTACGAACATTCAATAGTTGCATTTTACGAACATTTAACAGACGCATTTTACGAACATTAAACGGTCGCCTTTACGAACATTAAACGGTCGCTTTTATGAACATTTAACAGTCGTATTTTAAGAACATTAAACATTCGCGTTTTACGACAACTTTAAGGTCGTGCATTTTAAGAACATTCCTCATCTTTTATTTGCCTTATATACACAATACAAAAAAAATATATATACAGCGGTTATAGCTAGACCCAAGAACCGGGCTTATGGGAGAGCCACATACAGTCGAATTTTACGAACATTCAATAGTCGCATGTTACGAACATTTAACGGTAGCTTGCTAAGAACATATAACGGTCGCATTTTACAAACATTAAACGGTCGCTTTTACAAACATTTAACACTCGCATTTTACGAACATTTAACAGTCACATTTAAGAACATTAAACAGGCGCTTTTTACAAACATTTAAAGGTCGCATTTTAAGAAAGTTTAACATTCGCGTTTTACAACAACTTTAAAGTCGTACATTTTAAGAGCATTTATTCCATTAGGCCATTATTTGACCTTAATTACATAAGGGTTGTTTACTGGTACTGTTTTTCATGAGCCGTTTTATCGTAACAACACAAATTTAAAGACCGATAAAGCGCAAAAAAACTGTAAAGCTACAATTATTTCAGGCTAGGTGAAATGAAGATCCAAATCCGTTATAAATCCACAATAACT